TTCAACTCCCAGAATTCCCCAGCCAGCAAGGCTGGTTGGGGAATTCTGGGAGTTGAAGTCCACCCATATGAAAGCTGCCAAGGTTGAGGAACACTGCTGTAAGCCCATGGCTAAGTTCACATGACACACTTGGCTACAGGTTAGCCATCACATTTTAGGTTGCAGTGTTGTGTGATATTAGCCCACTGGTTTACTGTGGCATATAAATCCAGAAAATTGGGTTGAGTAAACCATTGTTAAAGTTTACATGGATGAGTATATAGTATAAACATACCTTCAGATAAGCAACTTTTAACAAAAATATATACTGCATTCAATTTTCATAATTTATAAAATTTAAAACATTTACTGAGGAGCAGTGTAGTAGCAATATGATACTGACAATCAGAATATGGTAGACATTTAGGAAGATGGGTTCAGGCCACCTAGGAACCGACAGTCTGCTCTCCAAAACACTTCTCCAAATATCATGTCCATGTTTCCAAACATTATTACTATGTAAAATACTGCATTTCTTCTGTCTCACACAGACTGAACAAATACAATAATCAGCATGCCTCATCATCATAAAACTTATTTACCGGGACTTGCAGCTGAGTTCTCAGGCTTCTTCTCTGTTAAAAGGAAAAGATAAGGAATCTTGGCTTGAGAATATTTACCACACTTCCCCCAACAAGTAATTATTCAAAAGAAAGATGAGACAATACAGTTGCAATTTACCAATTTCTGCTTAAAGGAGTGGTTTAGCTACATAACTATTAATCATGAATTGTATTATTCAAATATGATATATATGACTGTAAATTAGTATTTTTCTAATTGCCTTCCTTCCCTCTTACACAACTAACAATTTTAACTAAATGTGCCAGCCTCTATATTCTACTAATCTTTTCTTGTTTAACTAATTTTCTTCCAATTTTAAGAGGTAATTACACAAGCTGCTATTAATATTTACATAAATATTTTAATACATTAACATAAGCAAATATGAATCAGTCTATTGATAGACCATATTCTTTGTTTTAATTTTTTATTATTCAAATCTATTATTCTTCTATTTCTGGGCTAGGAAAAAATAGAGACTCATAGTATCATGAATGTAAGAGTTAAAAGGGACATTGGAGGTCATCTAGCCCAACTTCTTGCCCAATGCAAAAATCTGCTGATAGCATATCCAACAGATGGCCATCCAACCTCTTTTAAAGACCTCCAAGAAGGTAAGTCCACCACCTCCTCTAGCAGCCTGTTCCATTGCTGAATAGCCCTTAAGACATTTTCCTGATCTCTAGCCAAGATTGATTTCCTCATGATTACAATTTCTTATCCTGACTTCTGGAAGAACTCCAAGTAATTCTGCCCCATCTTCTAAACAGCCCTGAAGAGAACCATCATGTCTCTTTGCAGTCTTTTCTTCTCCAGGCTAAAAATAACACTTCCAAGTATTCCTTGCCAGTTTTTTTCTTCCAGGTGCCTTATCATCTTGGCTGCTCTCCTTTGCATATGCTCTACCTTGTCAACGTCCTTCCTAAAATGCAATATCCTTCCTGTGTGCAATATTCTAGGTGTGACCACTGCAAAATAAAGAGCAACAATTTCTCTTGATCTTTACACTCTACATCTGTTGATACAGTCTAGAATTTCAACTGCTCTTTTTGCAGCTGCATCAAACTGTAGGTTCATGTTCAGCTTGTGATTCACCAAGACAACCAAATCTTTTTGTGTGTGCTGCTGCCCAGTTTGATCTCCCTGATCTTATATGTACTTGTGTGTTTCATCTTTCCTACCCAAATAAATTTGCATTTGTCCCCACTGAAATTCATTTTGTTAGTTTCTGCCCATTATTTCAGTTTGTCAAGACACTTCTGAAACTTGATGTTATTTTCTAAGGTGTTTGCTATCCTCCCATTTTTATCAGCATACCTTGTTTAGCAACTATCTGCAAATGCGACAGTAAATTTTTTAAAAATCATTTTCCAACCAATGTGCACACTTACAACTAAATTTCGTGCTGACAACACATTCTGTAGTGAGAGTAACACTGGCGTAGCTGTATGAGAGAACTTTTATCTGAATGAGACAGTAGCAATCAGTGATCTCTCTCTCTCTGTCTCTCTCTGTCATGTGTTTGCTTAGAGACCGTTTCACTTCCAATTTAAGGAATGGATTGCGGTCGCTAAATGAGAGGGTGTAATCATATTTTCTAACTCTCATACAATTTGTTTACTGAACAGTAGAGGCCCCAGTGAGTAGAGACCTTCTAGCTTGACACTGAGCCACCGATGTACAATCATTGGTATGACTATTCAACCAGGTAGGTCTAATGGTAATATAATCCACCCTACATATTTTCAGTATTCTCTCTTCCTGGGCCATGCCTTTTAATAGAAAGAGTGAAGAAAACACCACTTATGCCTCAATTTTCTTCACCTTCCTATCCAGTGCTTCACAGTGACTTGCAGTGATTTCAAGACTTTATCTGGACTTAACGACTAAACAACAACAATTATTTGTTTCAAGGTGGGTTAGTAGAAATGGATTATTTGTCTGCTGCCTTAAAGAATATTGGGAGCCTTTCTATTACATGAAGAATGTGAACTCCAGGAAGGCAGCATACTTCTCTTAATAGACTGTGGAGCTGCTTCACTCCCTCTCAACAGAGAGTCTCTGATCACTACCATTTACTACCAGAATTTTCTACTAAAGCCAGGGATCCTCCCCTTTGCAGAACCTGTAGAGCAGTGTTTCTCAACCTTGGCAACTTTAAGATGTGTGGACTTCAAGGCTGGCGGGGGAATTCTGGGAATTGAAGTTCACACATCTTAAAGTTGTCAAGGTTGAGAAACACTGCTGTAAAGTCTTCTTCCTCAGCCCCTAGAATTATGGCATCCATTACATACTAATCTGAGGAGCTCTTTTACATCTGACCAAGTCTTTTATAGCAGGGGTCCTACTTAGAGGATTATTAAGAAATATAGACTACAGATATTTGTTCCTATATTTAATTTCCTTCACGGCTCTTCTGAACAACAGTAGAGTAGGGACCATCCAGGTCATTCCAGAGGGCAGGTGCTGCTACAGGGGTTCTGAAAGATGACACTGTTTAATCAAAGGAACCTGGAGCAGACCGGTCCAAATGCTTTTGTGGACTTTTCTTTTTTCTCCAATGTTTTTCTTTTCGTGCTAGCAAAAATATTTTTGAAAAACTAACTGCATCCTCAATTCAGATTGGGCTTTCTAACCAGAACACCACAGGAGAAGGAAACTGGAATTTTTCTGTAATGGGCTTCTTAAATCAGCTAATTAAAAATACGAAAGAACACTGGCTCATAAAATGCAAGGTTTTTCTTGTATATGCACTAATGTTTACTATGAGAAATAAATGAGTGAGCTCTTGGTACAAAAGGGAAAATATGATGTAATAAGTATAACAGTGATCAGATGGGATGACTATGATAATTTGAACATAGCAATTGAACAATGTCATCTGTTCAAAACAAACAGTAATAGAAAGGGATGAGTTGCACTACACATTAAAAGTATGCACTCCTGCTTAGAAATCCAGTTGAATGAACCTGGAAACACTGTAGAGAGCACCTGGGTTCAATTAAGTGGAGGAATGAATAAAATGCTGCTGATGTCTACCACAGCTTGATCAGCCAAGGAGAAGATGTGGACAATCCTTTTCAAGAGATGGTGTCAAGAAAGCTCCAGCTTAAAACGAGCTGATTAGGTGACAGAACCACAAAAAGGGACTTGTCTTTGTTCAGAATTAAAGCTGCTTGATCAAGGTAGCAAAATGCATAGATCTGCAAGAAGCCACGCTCTGAAACAAATTATCTGAAATAAAAACTAATAGTTTGCATCTTGATTTCCACATTTGTAACATTTATGTTTCATTTATATTAAATTTCTGTTTGAGGCAGCAAAAAATATCATTACTGAATATTGGCAAGACAGAACCATCCTGGATTTACAGTGTATTCACCTTTTGTTTATGAGCTGGTTGTTCATCAACCTAATGGAAAGGCTCATTGCTCTGTGTGGTCAAGGTTTGAAGATATTTTTTTAACAAATAAGAGTATAAATATTTCTTATATGCCTAATGTGTATTTTCATTTCTTTTTTCTATCTGTTCTTGAAAATTGTTTACTACTTTTTTCTTTTTTGTATATTCATATATATTTACAAGGCAAAACTTTTAAAAATCCTGTTAATATTTTCATTATTCAATGCTAATAATTCATTACATTTTATATTGAAGTGCCAAGAGCAGCACTGTTTCCCATTCCTTTGTGTTTAGTTTTCAAATTCTGGATGTCTTCTACTTTCTTATTGTTTTTCGTTTTTGTGGATTTTTGTTACACTGAATAAAAGTTTTATTGTTTGAGTAACATAGGCCATCAACAGTAAATGAAAACAAATTACATTAGCTATCACAGATGCTCAACTTAAAGCTATTTACCTTAAAGAAAATGTTGTTTACTTGCATGATGAGATATTTTTTTAAAAAAGCATTTAGCCCCAAACAAATAACATTTTTATAGTAACAAATACACTTTAACAAAATTGAAAAGTCTGGAATAGCTTAGATGGTCCAAGTGGATCCACGAACACCCTGCCCTCAAATTTTCATCAACTTGTTTTATTTAAATCCTTGTTAGGTTTTCGAAGAGCACTCAGGATCTTGCTCAGTCCTTGGCAGCTGTCTTCAGGTCTGAAATTCCATATTATGGCTTGCTTTGCTTTATCCAACCTCTTTTTTCTCCAAGACCTTCATCAGCAGAAGATTGAAACTGATCAATAACTTTAATTTTAACTGCTTGACAAGGTTTAAGACTTGTTGTTCAGGCCTCATAATATCATTCAATTTGCCTTAATGGAGCCCAAGATGTACCTAGGGTTCTTGCTTACCTTTACAATGGCCATCATAGTCCACCTGGATCTTGGAACCAGTGAGGCAAGCATCACGATGCAGCTCACAATGGTTCAGGTATGTCTTGCCGTTGCTGCCACACACTGGCCTCTTGTGGGTTTTACACTTCTATAAAAGAAAAAGCCAAAAAAGGGGGATCAAGAAATTCATGATGGAAGGCATGAGTTTAATTTTGAAAATTGAGTCTTTGCGGAATAATCTGATCAATCTACTTATTTTGGCATTAGATCCTAATTTGGTGATTTGATTATCTTGAATGATGTGGACTGACTAGATTATCAATGGCACAGAAAGGCCATACAGGTATTATAAAACTGATTTGACTGGATTCAGACTAAGCTAAACCATAAAATGCTTTGTTTTGGCTTAACTATTCTTGTATGAAATTGGCCACTGTGGTTTAGAAATCATGATTTATGATTTAATGACTATAATTATGTGGTATACTGAACCATAGACTAATCAACTATATTTTAGCTTAAAGTGCTCTCCAACCTCAATCCACCCTATTAGTTTATGGTTCACTGCATCATGTGAATCAAAGGAATTGGGTTAATTAAATAAACTAGGGTTAAGTTAACCCTGGGTGTATTATATGGACACAGCCAATGCTTTGTATAAATCCATCTAACTGTGGTTTATCAAAATAATATGATCAACCAAGAGATGGCTTAACATGCTTTAAAACCGAAGGGTCTTGTGGAATTTTTCTGTGTTTGAAGGAAGAGAGTACATTCCCCCACATTTCCAGTGGAAAAGGGCAGAGAACTTGTGGTCCTTCAAACTGCCAGCAATCATAGTTCATCTGATGCCAATGATGCTATTATAATAGTTATATCATTATTATATAGTTATACAACTATGTATTTATAGTTAATTATAATTATAACAGGCTTTCCTCCTCTGATATTATAATTCTCTTCATAACTGTGTTGTGAAATCCCCACAGGGTTCAAGGGTAAAGAAGAACAAGAAAATCTTTACTAACCCAGAGTTGGGGGGCTTTCCTGCTGTACATGGAGAATACGCCATGGTGCCAATGATTTAAGGTGTCCAGTCTAATCATCTGCACTTATAATTCCTGAGAGCTACTATAATGGCAACTTTTCTGCTTTTTGAAGTTCCTACCATAAGTCTTCCAAAGCAACAAAATTTCAGCTCTCCCTTTATTTTCTGTTTTGATTATACTCTTTGGCATAATGTGCAAGAAAAGATCTTTTTGCATTTCTGGAAGCTCAACCATTATTTTCTTGATGAAAATTATCTTCAGATTGCAGATGATGCTTTATGTTATAGAAAGTAAATTATTGAATGTAATGACACAAAAATAGAACTATTAGTAAAATTAGTGCAAGGCTTCAGGCATCCACTTCTTTTAAAATTCTTATAAGCCCAAAAAATGGGAAAAGAAATGAAAAAATGTTGGATGTGTCCATCAGGGGAGAAATGCAGATGTGGGGACTGGGCACTGTTGGTGTTTGATTAGAAGGTTGAAGATTTGGGGCAGAAGGAAGACTGTGAAGGTAGCTCTAAAAACAAACTACACAGCAAGAACTGTAACAGCAGAGATGCAATTCAAGAATTACTGAAGCAAAAGCTGGGTCCTTGGACATGTGCTAGTTTCCAGACCTGCTCCTAGAACTACTTCTTGGTGTACATGAGCTTATATATAAATTCTTATATGTAAATAAAAGTATATTCTTTCCTTATTTACTCTTACCCAAGCTTCCCTTTTATTCCATTGTTAGAGGAGGCAATGTAGCCCCCGGCAGTATCTCATCCCACACCTGTTCTGATTTAATTTACCCATAATTTATTACTGATTTTGTAATATTGAAAAATGTAATATGGGGGGGCAGGATAGCTGGAAGTTAAATATTGGCCTCCTGCCATCTTTGTTCTTCAGAATGCCTTTGGACCTCCTGTAGAGCCAGACACTGGCTGAGAAAGTAATTGTGTTAGGTAACCCTACATCTGAGGGGAAAAAGGAAAGGAGTAACCATACTGTTACTGTTTGGTAAGGCGGAGGGCTTGGAATAACAGTAGAGCAACTTGGGGAGGGTTCTATAATATAGATGTAACTATATGTAACTGAATGGGGTGTTTAATGGGCAAAACACAACTGATTATGGTCCATTCATGCATACATTTTGACATTATTCTCTCAGATCTAATAGCTCATGTTTTGAATTCACAACTGAATTGGAGTCAAGGAGCCAAAGAGAATTAAAAGCTGTGATTCCCCCGATTGAGTTCAACTCCTGATGGCTTCACAGATAGACCAATGTCATTTTCTTGGCAGCAACACGGAAATTGTTTGCCACTGCTGCAAACAATTTTTTTGAGATCAGTGAAGGTGGTCATTGCTGCATAAACAACAGTTCAGTTCTCTTTAGATAGTACCAGGTTGCCACATAAAATAATCTTATAATCTG